AATTCTGGGAGTTGAAGTCCACAAGTCTTAAAGTTGCCAAGGTTGGAGACCCCTGCTGTAAAGGACGGAATAGAGAAAGGAAAAGATATTTGGATATTAATGACAGATGCTTATTCTCTGGACAGTATCCAGTCCTCTGAAAAGATCTGGTGAAGATTAAGTAAAATAAAATTGGTTGTTTCCAAGTTGTTCAGTCTTGGATGTTATTTACTAATTGCTTTCTTCTTGGATACATACTAAATATTACGTGTCATGACACGGAGAGTAATCACACCTAGCCCCAATGATGTCTTCAGGTAATCAATATTTTGGTAAGCAAAGATAAAGGCATTGGTGGGGTTTTTGTTTCTTTTGAGGGAGAAGTTTTGTGTGTGTTTTGCAATTTTGGTGGGGATCCACTGAGCCGAGTATGACTACAAGGTTTCTAAAAAGTGGATGGAGGGAAAGCTGTAACCCTGCTATATTCAGACATACCCCAAGAGATGGAATTGTAATAAATTCATAGTAGAAAGTAATTGATGCAATGTATAATTAAGTTTATATTTTTCAATAAAAAGGCTTCTTATACCAATATGTATATAAAGTTTTAGACAGCTGTTTCAATAGAGAATGACGATGTTTCATTGTAATCTGTATATAATCTAGAACTGTAACCAATTTATTCCTCATCAGTAGCATCAGGTTTTCAAGATTCCATATATCTTGTGGAAGGCTGGTTTAGAGGTTTTAAAGAATGGAGGTACAAATGGGGATAAGATCCTGGTCAATACTTGTAAAGAAAGAAAAGTCTTTCAAGTTAACTTAATTTCCTGATAATGTTCACCCTTGGCAACATAGTTTGCTAGTGGTGCCTTTTGGGACTTATTTAATTTTTTAAAAAAATTCCAGTCATGTCAATAGCCTTAAATGTCCTGCTTGGTCTCTCATCCTATGACTAACAGGTTAGCTTTTCAAGATCTGCCCTGGCTGGTTGGATCTCAAATTTATAAACAATCTAATTTTAAGTATGACTGACTCTCAATAAGTCTGTGGGCCTCTGATTGATTGAACAATCCCCCCCCCCCCCCCCCAAAAAAAAAATTCTGGTTAAACAGATACCTGGTTGAGAACTTCCCCCAGATATTTAGTAGAACCAGACATTTGGAAACAAGTTGTTGGATCTCATGGGCTTTCCAAATGAGCTCTGTCCCAAGAAAATTACAATCTGAATTTTGACAAGGAAGGAATGAGCAGTGAAATAAAGCAAAATGGAAGCATAAGCAGGGTGGAGGAAAACATCTCAAAAATGTCTATTTGTACCTTTAGTTATTTTTGTCCACCAGAAAATCTCTGGAGTTTCATAGCTGTTAGCCCATGCAGACTCGTATAAGTTTGCAATCCTCAACAGTTGTGAATGCTTCTAGAGCAGAGTCTTCAAGGCAGTGTTTCCTTTATTCTCAGCAGCTAAGGGTCCATGTCAAGTTGCAGTCACTCAGTCGTGCGGGAGTGACAGCTAAGCCTAGACAAATAAAATCTGCATCTTCAAATTTTGGGGTGCCCCTCCCAACCGAGCCACGTCATCTCTTTAACACGTTGCCTCTTTAAGCAAATGTTCCCACTAGAATTTTTTTCCCCCACCTATGGTCTGGAAAATGTGTCCTATTGGTACAGAGGTGAGAAGGAAGGGTCCGTCTGTTTTTGTTGGCACCACCTGTGGATGTGATTAGCTTTATCTGTGTTTAAGTTGTGTTGAACACAGCAGAGGGAGCATTAGCTCACTGTGCATCAGGCTGCAGACCAGAAAGCCATTACTCTCACGTATTTTTAGCATTCCAAACAGGAAAAGGCCTGCCGTGGCTATGGATGTTTGGGGATGCTTTCCTTTCTGCCCTTTGCTTTCTCTTTGTCGTATCATATTTATCCTCTCGTTGCAAGGCACCGTAAAGCCAGTGATGACCCTTTGTCTGGAAAAGGAAATGATCGCTTGTTGTTCCTTATGTGGGAATAATTTTCTTCAGCTTCCTTTGGATCATAAATCATGGGTGGCTGTTAAGACGAGGAGGAATGCCAATGGCCTCCCCTCCACAGCTAGACAGCACAGTTCCTCTTGGAAACCAGCATAATCTCTGGTGTCAATTGCAGGGGGGGCGGAATCTTGTTTTTCCCCACACCTGGATGTTTTAAGTACTTTGGGAGGGGGCAATTGTATTTTGCTGTACCGATTTTTCTCCCAGTGCATTAAATGAGTTCTCTACTGTGTTTTTCTTTACCAGGCCCACTTAATTTAATTGCTTAGTTGAGAGGTCAGAGTTTTCCAACTTTTTTGGCGGGGGGGGCTGGGCTGATGGACCCACCTGGAATATTAAGAGTGCATTTTGGACTGTCCCTCGCCCAGAGTTCCTCTGGAAGGAGGATGGGAGATTCAAAAATGTAATAGATAATAGATAGACGATAGGTAGATTAGATAGACGAGAGAGAGAGAGAGAGAGGGAGGGAGGGAGAGAGGGAGGGGGAGAGAGAGAGAGAGATGGATGGGTGGTGGAAGGACGGACGGATAGTATAGATGATAGATAGATAGATAGATAGATAGATAGATAGATAGATAGATAATAGATAGATAGATAGATAGATGATTGATAGATAGACAGACAAATGATAGATGATAGACAAATGATAGATGACAGACAGACAGTCTATTTACCAGATAGCAAAGTGAGAAAAGCTTTTCCTTCACCACCTCTAGACCAGGGGTCTTCAAACTTGACAGCTTTAAGATTTGTGTACTTCAACTCCCAGAATTCCTCCTCCAGTCATGTTAGCTCAGGAATTCTGGGAGTTGAAATCCACAAATCTTAAACTTGCCAAGTTTGAAAATCCTTGCTCTTAGACCTCCTGAGAGGCTCTTTACCATGTTAATGAACCATGGTTTAAATCAGGGTCTCCAAACTTGGCAACTTTAAGATTTGTGGATTTCAACCCTCATAATTCCCTAACCACCATGGCTGGCTGAGGAATTCTAGGAGTTGAAGTCTACAAGTCTTAAAGTTGAGAAGATTGGTCACCCCTGGTTTAGAGTTTCTAGACAGGTGGGCACATTCTCTAAGCTGTCTCTAGACTGCAGTAGTTTTATAGCATGTAGCACCCCCTTTTTTATTAAATCACTCCAACTGTTCAATAGGAGCGAGCACCTGCTGGGTATCAAGACAAGGGTTGATAGGCCTCTGGTATCCACCATCTTACCCTGAGAACATCTTCCTTCAGACT